GCTCATGCCAGTGCTGTCTCCCTGGTGTATGATTTCACAGGAAACACGGTGGAGGTAGACTCGAAGGCTGGTAAAGATTGTTTCACTTTTTTTTTAACATTAAAAAAATTTTATTTTTATTTTATGTGTACGAGTGTATTGCCTGCATGTATGTGAGCACACCCGTGTCGTGCAATGCCGCGGACGTCAGAAGAGGGCTTCAGGTTCTCCTGGAACTGGAGTTAAGGACAGTTCGTAGCCACCATGTGGATGCTGGGAATTGAACCTGGGTCCTCTGCAAGAGCGGTCAGTGCTCTTAACTACTGAGCCATCTCTCCAGCCCCTGTTCCACTTTTTAAAATGAGCTTCCATTAATCTTATGAGGTGGGCACTACATAGCCTACAAATGCCATGGTGAAGCCTTGGTCCATAGGAACTATTTTCAAGAGTCATGGGGAAATGGAGAGGGGTCAGAAGCTTGTAAGAGAACACACAGCTTTAATTTGAGACTAGGAGGGAAAGGTAAATTTAGAAAATGCAGAGGTGTGTTTAATGTCTAGTCCTTGTGAAGTTCTAGAAGGATGATAAATTTAGATCTATGCTTGTAGTAGCCTCCTAAGTGGGCTCTCCACTTCTGTCCTGTGAACTCTGTTCTCAATCCGGTAGCCTGAGGAGTCTCCTGGTTTCAAATCATGCCATGTCTGGACACAGCCCTCCAGTGGCCCTTTCACAGGAAGGAAAAGCCACATGCTTTTAGAGTGGCCTATAAGGCCCAACATAGTCACTACTGCAGTTGCTCTGACCTCAGGCCTCACAGTTACCACAGTTACTACTCCCTCCCCTTTCTCTCTTGCCTCCCCCTGCCTGAGCTTCCTTGCTTTTGGCCTTTGCTTTTGATGGTCTCTTGGCCTGGAACACTCATGTCAAGATAACAGAATGGCTTTCTCTTCCAAGTCTTTGCTCAAATGTCACTGCCTCAATGAAACTTTTCATAACCACCCAAGGACCCTCACCTTTTCATCCCAGACTTACTTTTCTTCTCTGTAGTACTCATTGCGATCCAACATATTGCATATTTTTATTTATTTCTTCTCTTCATCAACTCTCTCCTCTCACTAAAATGCCTCAGGGACTCTTCTTGTCTGTATCCCCAGTTCTGAGAACAGTGCCCACATAGTCATGTTCTTTAAACATTTGTTGCTTTAGAGGGAGGAAAATGGTCTGGGTATATGGAGAGTTAACTAGCTTGCAATGCTAACTATCCCACTTTTTCCAGAAGTAGGAGAGTCCTCGAAGTACAGAGCTTTTGGTACAAAGACCAGCAAAGTGCTAATTGCCCTCTCCTCTAGACCTATAGTTTCATCTTCTGTGACAGTGACCAGACTGAGCATCCCACAAACTCACTACACCCTCCTCTTGGCCAGTCTCCAAGCAAGTCTGCCTTAACAGCCCTACAGGCAAGATGCAGAAATGTGGACTTCAAGACCATCCATCTAGGTGGTCCAAAGCTGGCTAGGAAGCCAGACATGCTGATTAGTGGAGTGAGGGAGGTGGGATGGCTTCAGAGGTATGATGAGGGCAAGGAAGAGTCCCATTTCCCGCCTTACTATGAGAACACCCCTGAGCCTGATACATGTAACTGGCTCTGCACCAGGGCAGAAGCAGCTCATTCATTCCAAGTCATGGTGACCCAAAATGCTTTTTACCTCCATGTTCCCAAATGAACTGGCTCAGCAAACCTACCTAGGTTACTCCATTTTGTTCAGAGCCATTTTAGCAGCAACTTTGCTCCACACCAAAAGGAAAAGGGGGCAACCTTGGGTCTTGGGAAATTGTCCTAGCCATGAACCATGGAATGTGCTAATTCCAGACATTATACATCTGGCTAACCAGCTTGTTTTCACTTCTGTGATCTGCTTGCTATCTTGGGTCACCTTGACACAGAACACAAGACCACCCTTGTTTATCCTGTTACTGTATGACCACCTAGAAGTTGTTTACCTTGACTGTCTTATTTTACTTGTTATGGCTAAAGCAGTTGGCTAGTTTTTAATATCACAAAGTTGAGTGCCAAATTATATGACTGTATCACTTGTCTGTACAATGATTGGTTGTTAATTAATAGAATCAAAATACTGCTATATTGTACAAACCCGATTGGTTCACAAATGTCCCGTTTTAATAATAATTCTGTAATCCTATAAAATCTCTGACCTGACAATCATCAGAGCTGCTTCTACTCCCGAGATAGACAGCCCGGCCGGTCGAAAATTAAAATGTACCTTGCTACTTTTCTTAAAGCGGTGCTGGTGATTTTTTTACAAACTCCGTCCTATAACACCAAAGGCAGTCCCCAAAGTGTCATTTCTCTTTCTAGAAGGAAAGCGGTCCCTAGCTACCTTCTGCTCCCCGCCTCACTCAACTTAGTTCTCTGGAGGGAGCTGATAGTAAATCTCCAGATGGACTTCATTCTTAAGGACTTAGGTATCTGGAAAGCAGTAATGCAAGGGGCCTGGGTGCAGAGGGCCCAGACAAGAGCTGTATCCTTGTGGTTGGGAGATGTCTCCTCCCTAGGGGCTTGCAAATTCTCCTAGTTTTCTATTTCTTATGAAGACTGAGGGAAACAGGTAGATCAGAAACAAAAATGGTCCTGGAGACTGGAGATACACCCCATTCTACCATCCAACCCAACACATTTTCAAGTATTTTGAGCTAGAGATCTAAATTTAGCCCTGAGCCAGTCAGATCTGCTGGGGTTTTAGGCTATTACCCAGCCCAAGGCTTGTTGGGATGATCTGGGATGGTGGCAGGGTGGTAGAAAGCTGGGTGCCTTGTTAAGGGAACAATACCTTCATCCTCTATGTCATGTGTGCTGGCCAAGAGGACGGCAACTGCCAGACAAAAGATGGATGGTCCTAAAGCAAACAGAGGCAATCATTTCTGATTCCAATATTTGATGATCAGTGTGAACCCTTCCCCACCTCTTCCCTACAGAGCTTCCAGAGCAGTAACTAGGCTAGATCCAACAGGCTAGCTCAAGCTGGTCAGCAGCACTGCCAAAGCTCATCAGGAGAGAACCCTGGGAGGTTAGGAGTGTCTGCCAGGGGTGCAGCAGAAGACAGGGAGCATGTATGTTCATGTAGAAAGACCACATACCCCTGGCAAAGTGCATCTGTGAATGGGAGATTCTGGATCCTGGGATAGTGGGGACCATCTTGCAGTTCTGTCTCCAACTTTCTTTAGGTGTTTATAAAAAAGCTGAAATGTGGTGGCGCATGCCTGTAATCCCATTACTCAGGGGACCGAAGCAGAAGAATTGCCAGTCTGAGGACAGCCTGGGCTATATAGAGCTCCTGTCTAAAAAAATCAAAAGGGCTAGCGAGATGACTCTGTGGGTAAGAGCACTGGTTGCTCTTGTAGATGACCTAGGTTCAATTCTCATCACCCACATGGAGACTAACAATTGTCTGTAACTCCAAATCCAGGGGAACTGATGCCCTCTTCTGACCTCTGTGGACATTGCATAACACAGGTGTACTTACATGTAGGCAATATACTCATACACATAAAATAAAAATAATAAAAAATATTTTTTAAAAAGTCAATCAAACACAAAATAAAAGGTGAGGTGAGCAAAAGCTTGGAGCAGGTGTGAGCAATTCTAGCCACCCAGGCTGAGGTCTAGTGGTTCTCACAGTGCAGTCCCTAGGCTGGCGGCATCAGTACCTGTTGGGAATGAAGATGGGAAACTCTGGGGACAGGATCAGCCATTTGTGTTTTAGTCTGTAGGAGACTTCATTGCAAGCTGCTGTGAGAGCCCCTACCCAGGCAGAAGGTAGCTTCTGAGAGCCCTGCTGTAGGGAGCACTACCCTCTGCTTTCCAGGAGTCTTCTGAGTCCACGGCCCTGGGACCTGATGCGCGGATCCTTGCCTGTCACGTTCTTCCTTGCTGATGGCCGCTCTTCAGTTTGTCTCTCTTCCTCAGCCCTCCTGCTCACTGCGTAAGGACACTTTGGGGGGTTGGAGAGGACCAGAGGCCAGAATTCCAAATGAAAAGGAAAAACTCTTCTCCCAGCGCTTACCACATCCCAGAAGCCCCCTGCCCCATGTCCCAGCCCTCATCCTGTCACCTCCAGTCTCTGAAGAGACCCTGGAACATGGAGTTCTTTCCTTCTCCCTGATTTGGTTTCTTCTTGTGTGTCCATTTGCAGTCTTGATGGTGACTTACCGTCTGTGCCCAACAAGTCTGCCACATGCGTTCTATAACATAGGGGAACCTTCAAGCTCCTATGGGGATTTGACCCATCTCAAGAAACCCAGTCCTTTTACCAGCCTGTCTCAGAAACAGTGGCCTCTGGCTCTGGCGTCACTCCTTCCTTGGCCTCCAGTCTCTCCTCTGCCCTCAGCTCTGTTGGTTTCCCAACAGATGCTTCTCTTCATCAGAAGTCAATCAGTTAAAAACAAAAACCAGAACAACAAAAGCAAACCAGGCTCAGGGAATGGAGAGAGAAATGCAGCAATTTCCTCATCTCACCCACTACCATCCCCTCTGCAGACCTTTTATCACCCATGCCCTCTCCCGCCCCACAAGCCAAAGTTCTTGCTGTCTAGATGATTTGCAATTCTCTGCATGACTCTGCCTCTTGGGCTGGTTTAATTAGAAACAGGCTGGAAAGTGTGTCCTATGCACTGGCATGTCAACTGTTTATCAGAGGAGGAAGAGGGACCAAGTTTGGGGATGGAAATTTCCACTCTCTCTCCACGGCTGCATTTGTCTCCATTTTTCTCTGCCACTCTGCCTTTCCTTCCTCTCCTGCTCACCGCTATGAGGGCACTTGGAGGCGGAGGTTGGAGAGAACCAGAGGCCAAAATTCAAAATGGAAAAGGAGCTCTTCTCCAAGCTCTTACCACATCCCACCCCTCCCCCTACCTCCTAGCCTCCACCCTGTCACCTCCAGTCTTTGAAGAGACCCTGGACCACAGAGCCCTTTCCTTCTACTCAGCAAAAGATGATCCCTCTCCTCATTGTTGTTATTGTTTATTTTTTATTTTTTACAAAACAGGAGAAAAGAGTGAATTGGGTTGGGGGCAGGTGACACATTTCTCCACAAAGGTACAAAACTGCCTATAGAAAGTCAACTTCAGAGCCCAGTCTGCGAGATGAGACTTGGCTGGGCATCCCTCTCCCCCAAATGTCCTTCAGACCCAGCTGGGGGACACTCCCACTTTGGGGCGGGGCCCCAAAGATAGAAAGGGGAGGCCTCCTTCAGTCCTTGCCCAGGAGTGGGGTGAGCAAGCAACTGAGACTGTACAAAGAAAGAGTTAGAGGAACAGGGCATATCCTGTGGGCCAGGGGCAACACAGGCAGGGGACAGCCAGGAGGGGCCAGGAGGCTCTGGGAGGTGGGAGGCTCTAGGCAGAGTCTTGCTCCTTGGAGGCATTCCTCAGAATGGCAGCTGGGAACCCCCAGAAGGCATCAGCAGCCTTTTGGAGGCTGTGAGTGCACCCCTGGGAGCCATAGAGCCTCCTTGTCTGTCTTGGTCCAGCTGCCAGGCCTCAAGCACGTGGATTCACGCCACTTTCCTGGCAGGCATCTGGCCCAGATCACTTCCCTTTTAGTAGAAAGTTGTCCTAGTTATTTCTCAGTAGAGACCTGGCTGGGCTTCAGGAATGTTGAGACAATGGTGGTGACACTGTGTCTCCTTCTGAGCATCTGGACAACTTCCTCCCTGGATTCCAAGGCAAGACAAGAGGTACAGACACCACCCGGACAGAAGGGGCACTCCAGCCCCAGAAAGCCCAGGCTGGAAGAAGAGGTCGCCCACCCACTCCCTGCTTGGGCCGGCCTCTACCAAGGTGAGCTGCAAGCCCAGCTGCCAGCAGGAGGACAGCAAGAGCTAGGATGGCTATGAGCCCAGGCCGGTGCCCCAGGGCTCTGTGGCAAGGAAAGGCCTCTTTAGTCCTGGCCCATACACAAGCCAACTGGGTGTGGGCATCAGCAAAGGCCACTTGCAGGCAGGCCCAGTACTTTGTGGCCGGAAGGAGGCGGGTAATGTTGTAGTGGTGGGTACCCTGGGGCAGGCGAGCCAAAGCAGTGGCCCCCTGGTTGCGGAGGGAGGAGGCGCTAGACCAGGTGAGGTTGGTGGAGACTATGTTGGGTGGGGGCATCCAAGACAGCAGGATGTGATAGTGGTGGGTCTCCTGTACCCAGAGCTCCAGTCCCTGTCCCGTGTCCCTGCTTGGCTGGAAGGAAGTGTAGCCAACCACCACACTCACTGTCTTAGTGTCAGCCCCCACCAGGTTCTGGGCCACACAAGTGTATAGCCCTGCCTCTTCCACTGTCACCCTCCGAAGCTCCAGGGTCCCCTCAGGGAATACCCGGTACCTCCTGCCTGCATGGGCAGGCGTCAGTCGAACCCCAGCTGGAGTGACCCAGTAGATCTCTGGCTCTGGTTCAGCCAGTGCTCGGCAGTGCAGTACCATGCTCTCTCCACTGGCCACCTGCAGGCGGGAGGGGAAGCTTCGGGGAGATATGAGGGGCAGGCAGTGGTCCGTCATCTCCCGGAAGGGTACTTCTCGGACTGGGCGGTGCTGGAGGTCTGGAGGCTCAGCACACAGGGTAGACTGTGGTTCGATGAAACGGACACGGGTGCCCGTGGCATTGGCCCAGCGGATGACACAGTCACAGCGGATGGGGTTGCCATGAAGCCCTACCTCCTGCAGGTTGGGTAGAGACTCCACCGTCTGCTGGTGCAAGGCACTGAGAGCATTATTGTTGAGCATGAGCGTTTCCATCTGGGGCAGGTGGTGGAAGGCTCGGGGATGGATGAAAGAGAGCCGTGGGTTGTTGGTGACATCCAGCTTGGTCAGCTCAGGGAGGTTCACCAAGGCGAACTTGTCAATGGAGACCAGCTCCTCCATGTTGTTCAGCCCCAGCTCCTTGAGGTGCAGCATGTTAGCAAAGTCCCCCGGTCCTACCCGCTGCAGTGGGTTTTTGTTCAGATCTAGGAACTTGAGCCCAGGCACCTGCTCCAAGGCCCGCTTGGGCACCTGGGCCAGCTGGTTGTCATAGAAGGAAAGGCTCTCCAGGCTTTGCAACCCTTCCAGGGCATAGTCAGAAATCTCCCGCAGGCTCATACCTGCCAGTACCAGGCTGCGAAGGTTGGCCAGGGGCCGGAAGTTCATGTCCAAGATGGCATCTACCTTGTTGCCGCCAATCATGAGGATCTCCAAGTTGGGCAGCATCTCAAACCAGCGGCTGTCGATGGTCCTAAGCAGGTTGGAGTTAAGGTGCAGTCGAAGTAGGTTGCTGAGGCCTGAGAAGGCCCTGGGGGCAATGCGACACAGCTGGTTGTGGTTGAGATAGAGCTCCTGCAAGCTGGCCAGCCCAGCAAAGCTGTGGTCCTCCAGCCGGCTCAGCTGGTTCTCTTCCAGGTGCAGGCTCAGCAGCTGGGGCAGGGCCCGGAAATCACAATCTCGGGCATCCGAGAAGCTGTTCTGGGACAGGTCCAGCTCTGTGAGGTTGGCTAGGTAGGAAAGCTCGGTCTGGTCCACTCGGACAATGCTGTTGCTCTGCAGCAGCAGGGTCTGCGTCCCTGCAGGGAGTCCTGGGGGCACTGCTGTCAAGAACAGGTCATTGCAGTCCACAGTAGTGGCCTCACGGTAGGACGAGCGGGGTGTGTACCAGGGCCGGATCTGGCAGGCACACTGAGGAGGGCAGGACACATGCCAGGGCACCACGGGCACGGCGGCAGTGGCACCAGCCACCCAAGCTAACAAGAGGGTGACCACAAGGAGCCTCATGATGGAGCTGGAAGGCAGGGGCCCCTCCACAGGAAGAGTCCTGAGTCCTGCTCTTTATGTTTTGTAGATTTAAGGTCAGCAGCCCTGCCAGGGCCTGGAGAACCACCCTCTCAGGGCAGTCATTCTACACAGGGTGGGTGGGCATCACTCCTTGCCCTCCTGGGTGTGACTCCTCATCCTCGTGCACCTGGCTGGGCCTGCTCACTCATTTCTACGGTGCATCAGCAGCCCTGGAAGGAGAGGACACAGTTAAGGAGGTGCATAGCTGAGAAGGACCTGCTCCTCTCTTTAGACCCTCCACCCCTGGTGGGCTCCAGAAGCCAGAGGAGCAGCACAGGAGCTGGCCTGGATGGGAACCAGGTCTTCTGGGCTCTGTCCTGAAGTCGAGAAAATTCCAGTGTCCTTTTCTACCAACTGCTCAGGGAAGGAATGTTTCTAAGTCCTTAAAGGATGTCTTGGGATAACTCAGAGGGGTGTGTGTGTGTGTGTGTGTGTGTGTGTGTGTAAATGTGTGGTGTAGGTTGTGTGGTATAACTGTATATGTGCATGTGGGATGTAGGGTATGTGTGTGAATATGTGTGATATGTGCATATGGTGTGTGGTATGTGTATGCATGTGGGGTGCAGGGTGTGTGGTATGTATATGTGGTGTGTGTACATGTGGGGGAGGTGTAGGGTGTGTATGTGTGGTGTGTTTATGTGGAATGTGGATGTATGTGTGCATGTAGGGGAGGTGCAGGGTGTAGGGTATGTGTGTATATGTGTGGTATGTATATGTGTCTTCATGTGGGGGAGGTGTGGGATGTAGGATGCAGTGTATGTATGTGTGGTATATGTATGTGGTGTATGCGTTAGCTAATGTCGGGGACGTATGAGGTGTAAGGTATGTACCTGGTGTAGGGTATGTGTGGTGTGCAATGTATGTATATATGTGTGGTATGTGGTATGTATGTGTATGCATGTGTGGGAGGTGCAGGGTGTAAGGTATGTATGTGCGTATGTATGGTATATGTGGTCTGTGGTAGTGTGGGTGCATGTGTGGGAGGCTTGGTGTGTAGGGTGTGTGTGTGTGTTTGGGAGGGAAGGAGAATGGATGAACCAAAATTGTCATCATTGGAACCCAGATAAATGTGGAATAGCTTTTCTGACCTTTCTGCCCTCCCTCCTTGGCTCACTGGTTAAGTGAGATAAATGATAGTTTCTAGATATCCCTCTGTGATGCAGGTAGAAGGGGGTAGAAAAAACAAGTAGAGTTTCTAAAATATGCAGTGGGCTTCCCAGAACTCCAGAATTTGGCAGTGGACCCTGATCCGGCATTCACTTGGGCTGGGGCAGTAGTGCCTCTGCTTAGGCTCTCCTGGGGGTGGGAGGGTGGCGGGGGGACTGCTTTTGGTTTTGGCAACTTCTTACTCAGGAGGTACAGGCTTTCCTTTCTCTATGGCTTGCCAGAGCTGCCCAGCAAGATGTTCAGGGACCTGGGTTTAAGCACCTCAGTCCTGCAGATATGACCTCCTATAGCCTGGCGTGGCCTTCTCTTGTTTACCTATTCACAATGCTAGGAACAAACCTTTTGGGGTGAAGTCGTCTTGACATGCTACCCCTTTTTATCTCCTTATTTCTCTCAGACAACTCCTACTTGTTCTTCAAGACTAAACTCAATTCAGTTACTTCCTACAGAAAGTGTCTTTTGAGCTACAGGACTTCTTGGGGAACAAAAGGCTCAGGACACAAGAAACATCCACCTGGTGGGCTGAGGGGCTGGCATCATGCTGCTGCAGTGTTGTGCTTCTGCTGTCCCAGCCCCGATGACATCACCTGGAAGCATCCTCTGACTGGAACCCTCACCTCTCATCACCACACCTATAGCACAGGACAGGTGCACAGCCAGAGTGAACTGCACGGTTCCTGCTCTGTGTCCTCAGGGCCCCCTCCCTCAGGAGATCTCCTCAAAACAGAAACTAAGTCATTGCAGTTTCCTCCCTCCTGGGTGTGGGAAACCAACCTGACTTCTCTTTCAGACTCCAAGGCCAGGCTGCTTTGCTCTGGAGGCAGGTTCAGCCTTGGCCTAGAACCAAAGAAGGAAACAAAACTGGGCCAGACCCTGGGTTCTCTTCTCTCCTGGTCTGAATCCTGAGTGGAGGTCTGAGTCCTGGCAGATTTTAAGCCTCAGGTGTCCAGGGCATGCTTCCCAAGAACCCACTGTTTCTGGGACTCTTCAAAGACTATGAATGGCTTATTTAATATAACTGTCCTATGAGATAAGGGTTCATACTTCCAGTTTGCAGATGAGGAAACAGTTCCAGAAGAGGTCAAAGAACTAAGCTCAAGTCTCAAAGCTGGTAAGCACCCAGATAGACAGGAAACAAGCCCAGCCTGGGGTTGTGTTGTCTAAACCTCCCTGATCTTCCCAGGTCTGGTCCAGACTGTGCTAGGCCTAGGTCCAGGCTGCATTAGCTACCCTGAAGCAGGCTTGTGTCATTTTTTTCCCTTGGGTGTGATTTCTGGGGAGCTGCAGAAATCTCAGAGCTGTGTCTGCCAGCTTCTAGGCAGTGCCGCTAGCTAGCCACTTGAGGCTCTTTGCCTCTTCATCCTGCTTGCAGGATGCTGTGGGGGAGGGGCAGTGGGGCCAGGGCGCACTTGGCTAAGCAGGAGAGCAGCATGGCTGTGTACATCTGACTGCGTCCCACTTTTCTCCACAGCTATTTCTGAAGGTGGGAAAAACAACTATGGCTTGAAAGGCACCGAGGTTTGCGTGGGGGTGTGTGCACTGACACACAGAACTCAGGGTAAACAAACACACATGCATTCGTGCATACTTGCCTACATACATGTGTGAGGGAAGCCTAGGGAAACCAGCTGCCCCAGACAGTAACTGGGGCCCAGGGAGGGGAGGAGATTTTGTGGTATACTTTGTGGGTAGAGAAGCAGCAGGAACCAAGTTGATGTGGATTACCTGCCATGCAACTGTATCTAAGTGCCACACTTGTACGGAGGCTAGGATCCAAGACTTGGCTCTACCTCTACTCTGGGAAAAGTTATGAGACTTCTCCAAGCATCTGTTGCTTTATGTTTCCTTCATTTTCTTAAAATAAGATTGCCATTAGACGAAAATGATTGTGTTGTTCATAGAGAGAGCTCTATAAATGTTAATTCCTTTTCTGTGGCGTGCATCTTCTAAGGTTGGGAGGTGCTGCAGCCACACAGGGCACCTCTACTCCCTCCCTCCCTCCCTCCCTCCCTCCCTCTTGCCTTTCTTCCTTCTTCCTATTTAACCTAGGATGTCCTTGAACTCAGGTCTTCCTTCTTCCACCTCCCAAGTGGTTAGAATACAGGTATGCAATGCTATGCATGCTCTTATGTTCTCAGGGAACAGTAGTCTTCTAGACAACAGACAATAGGGTGCAACAAGCTTCCTCTCCACTAAGCTGCTAAACTGGGGGTCCAAATGCTGCCCCAAGGTAGGGTGGAGAGCTGTGAACTGAACCAGCAGCATGGTCATCCCAGCTAGTGGGGAGACCAGACCCAAACTGCAAACAGGTAAGGAATGCTCAGGACAGTTCCCAGCTGAAGAGGGTGAGGATGAGCAGGTGGCAAAGGCTCTTCAGCGAGGACTCCAGCAGACCTGAGTCCCTTTGTTCTGAGTGCTGAGCCAGCATTCAACTGTGCCCAGGGCACTAAGAAGATACCCAAACCTAAAACGTTCCACTGCAGGCAGCTCCCCTGCCAGCCTCCTCTGGCTGACTGGCTGGGAGCAGCACAGTGTGCCAGGGGCTGGGATGGCTTCAAGATGCAGAAAGAAGCAGCAGGTGAAGACTCCATTCTTGCTGCATCTGAGACCCCAGGGTATGGTGAAGGCCCAGACAAGTCCTTCTCTTGAGGCTGAGTGCACCGCTCTTCCTGGGATGGAGTGCAGAGCGGCCCACTCACCTGCCATCACCACTTTAAGACTGTCTTTCACACGGCCTACTCACCCGCAAGCTGATTACCAGGTTCCTTGGGAGCTACAGAGAAAGCTAATTGTCTTTTAGCGATAATCTCTTGGGTGACCAGGTGTTCAGACTACTATATGCACATCTCCCCCAACTGAACGGCAAGCTCCTTGTGGCAGGGGCCATGTCTCACAGGCTTTCTGTGTCCCCAGAGCACCAAGTATAGGATTGAGCATGCAGAGAGTACTTGTGAGGGAATATAAATAGTAAAAGCATGCAGAACATAGGTACATTATGTTTAATCTTCCCATCAACTCTGTGTATGTGGGTGATGAAGGAATTCTTTAGTTTCATTCTGCCAGGGAGGCAATTGAGGGTCAAAAGGTTATGTGACTTGTCAGAGGTTACACAGCTTCTGTGTGGTAGGGCAGAACCCAGTATTTTTTTTCCTTACTATGACCTGCCCCACCAGTCCAAACAACAGGGATCAATGCCTGCTTGAGGGGAGTAGAGTGCTGGGCTGGCTGGGAACACCTCACCTCTATCAGTTGCAAATTTTTTTCAAAGATGGACCTAGGTTCTTAGCAAATCTATCCAGTCACCTGCTGGGCCCATCAGACCCCTTTAACTCCTGGATAAACTGCCCCCCCCCCACCTGGGACAAGTGAAGGAAGATCCCTGTTTCTGTTTGAGTGCGAGAGGGCCTGGAACCACAGGGTCGAATGAAGCCAACTGCTGTACTCTAACCTGACCCTGCCATCTGACTATGTAATGGGTGCTGGTCAGGAGCAAGAGAGCCCTAGAGCCATAATCCAGGCTGGTTGCTCGCCCCAAAGGCATACCATTTGCTCGGAAGGGCTTGATCTGCAAATCCAACTGGAACCATCTCCAGTTGGATTCCCTCCAGGAATTGTCTTTGGACTTGGCAGAAAGTATAGAATTGATCCCCTATTGCCTCTGCTAACTAAAGGTGTTGGAAAAACTCTAAAGGAAGAATTCTGGGGCCACTGTCATCTCATCCCTCCTCTGGCTCTGCTCCCCTGCAGCATGGAGGTGCAGCCTCTTGATGCTCGTAGATTCCTTCCCTCCCACCTCCCTCCTGCTCTCCTTTCCTCTCTGGTACCTGCCCAGTTCCTGGGAGCAGAGGCTTTCAGAGGGAGAACAGGAGGCAGGAGGGACGGATTGGTGGCTTTGATACCAGATCCCCCTGAGCTGTGGAGACAGATGGGCAGCATAATTGAGTGTAACATTGATAAACTCCAGCCTCCTCAGCAGTGGATAAGCTCTGAGCAGGACCATCAG